TTATTAATGTGGCGCTGCCTCCTCTCACTGTAAGACTTGAACGTCTGTGGCCAGTAGTTCTTTCTCTGCCCATCTGCACAGCTGACTTCATGCAGCCTCCCCCTCCTCCTCCCTCACTGCTGCAGCTCACACATGCGGTGCAGCTGGGGACGATTATTAATTAATATGTTAAAAAAAAGGTCTAAAAACTAACTTTAATATACGTTTATTTTTTAGACATTGATTTTGTACAGTTACAGCTGTTAATAAATGTGCCTGTGACAACTGGGACGAAGCTTTGACTCACAAATACAGGTAGGGGCTGCGCTCTGAGTGAGTGAGAGGAGGGGGCCATGTGGGAGAAGACAGCAGAGCAGGAGAGTTTTCTACCAGAACTATATCGTTTATATCGAAATAATGTCAATTTATATTGCAAAAAACATTATATTGATATTTAAAAATATTGAGATTTCACCCAGCCCTATGTTCACGTATCAGATTAGACTCAACGTGGACGCCTGCAGGGCGTGTCTGTGCAAAGATCAATTTTTACCACCGCGTACTGTTTCGCACAATAAACTGCCCGGCGACAGTTTTGTATGCAACAAATTTATTAAGTTCCCCTTCTTCGTCCCTGATGTGGGTTAAGCACAGAGCGTCCAGCCTGGTGGACGCTCTGTGCTTAACTCGAGCCAGAATTAGCTCAAAGCAGTGAGCACAGAGCGTCCAGCCTGGTGGACGCTCTGTGCTCACTGCTTTGAGCTAATTCTGGCTCACGCTCGAGTATGAAGTGTCCACCGTGTGCACACAGTTTCTGCACAGACTCGGGTCCAGCTTGGAGCCTTTCCATTGACACGTAGCACAACATTCATACAGCAGTGGCTCACCATGTTGCTGAAGACACGGTCTAACAAGTCACTTTGACTTGGTCATTTTAAAAGCTGAAAACATCTGGACACACTTGGTGTAGACAAAAGCAAATTGTTCAAGTCAACAGGTCCTTCCAGACTGAACCAGTGAATTATTTGTCTTACAGGAAAACTTACTGCGTTTAAAAAAACAATAATTATTTGAAGATCTTCTTCTTATAACGTCATTTGAAATAATTAAAAAAACGGATGCTTCTTTGAGTTTTTCCCTCCAGTCTGTTTGGCTTATGTGCAGAAATGATGTGCACGAGTCCAAACATGTTGCCACGCAACACATATACCATAATACAAGTACTCAGACACGTGGTCTTTGTTCCCTTTCTTTATTTCCTTACGTGTGCTTACAAAACGATGCCAAAGCAATAAAAAACATTGCTACAAGCATACAATTGTTATATTTATGTATTATTATTATTTATTTTGTTTTTTCATTTGTTAAAGTGTTTTGGCTAAAAGCCGACACATCTGGTTTAAAAAAAATCTCAGGTTTTCTGTCACATTTGACTTTTTCTCTCCACTTTCAGTAATTTTTTTTTATCAGATATTCACTTTTTTTCTTTAGACTGCTTTGTGAAATTGAACTCAATCTTTTCTTATGAATTTTTTAAGAAGTCCTTGCAGTTTTGTCAGAATAAGCCGTTCTGTTGCTAAGAACTTTTTAGGATTGTCCTTGCTGGATCAGAATGCCTAAATTGTGCCAGTCAAGCTGCATTTAGTGTTTAATCAAACAAAACCTTTGAAACAAATGTCTTGGGCTGCTAGAAACTTGTGCAAACAGAGGTGGGTGCCTATTACTGTACTTTTTCTTTGTTGCTTGTTGTTCAAATGAAAACCTTTTTTAAATAATGTGTAAGAAGCTCAGAGAAAATCATTACCATCTTTTCTTTTTTCAGAAAATTACCACCAAAAATGCCTTTGGTCTCCACCTGATTGATTACATGGCAGACATTCTAAAACAGAAGGATTCTGAGCTCACCAACTTTAAGGTATATATTGTTTAATTTATTTTATATTCACTTTTCAGTTTTTTATTTTTTTCCATTTACAATGACACTGACATAGTCATGATTAATATTTGCAACTAGGGCTGCAACAACGAATCGATAAAAATCGATGATTAAAAGCGTTGTCAACGAATTTCGTTATCGATTCGTTGTGTCGCGCGATTATGCATCTTTCACGGCGCTGCGGAGCCGTTTCGTTTTGTTCACCTGCAGTTCATTGTCAATGCTGACTGACTGAATAAAGTTTGAAAAAACAAAACTGCAGCGCGAGTTGAACAGAGCGAGGGGGGAGGAGGAAGCAGAGCAGAGGCTGTTTTCAAAGCAAAATAAGTAAATTTTACAAATGACAGACGCAGAGAAAACTGTTTGACCCAAGTCCTCTAAAGTGTGGGAGCTCTTCACAAAGATAAAAACTGAGAAACATGCAGCTTTGAAAAGTGACGACACGACACGAGAGAACCACGGAGATAAAACGTAAACATGTGGGAGTGACGAGGAGGAGGAAGGAGCTGCAGCTGATACAACTCTTCATGTGTTGCAGGTGAGTCTCTACAATTTAACACTTTGTTCTGTTTCAAGAGAGAAAACGTAACGTCAGTCTGTCTGGTAGATGAAGCTGTTTGTTTGTTTGTTTGTCTGATTAATGGCGGTGATACAGAACGTGTGTTACTTTTTATTTAATTTAATTGGTACAAGCAGTGTTTAAATGTGATTTATAAATAAATCTAACGCAAAGATTAAAATAATTTAATGATTAAGCTTCAACTTTTAATTTGCTGACAAAGTCTGAAGACACTGCAGGTATGGCAGGATGAATTGCATTTAAACAGGAATTAAAGTATTTTATTACACTTACTCAAATGTGTGTAATTAAGTATTTTGCATGTGTGTGTGTGTGTGTTTAATTGCTCTTTTAGCTACTTTTGCCTGAACCTAACACTGTAAGTGAAACAAGACATTTCTTGAGTTGCTGTAAATCATGATATAAAACATATTTACTGTCTCATTCCAGAAAACAACAACAACAACATCCTTCATGATGGACAGACATCATGGACACCACAGCAGCAGCTGTCTTCACTGAAACATCCTGAACATGATCGTCACTGACATGAGGCCTCTGTCCATGGTTGAAGACGAAGGCTTCACTACAATAATCCACACTTTTAATCCGGGTTACAATGATCCACACTTTTAATTCAGGTTACAATAATCCACATTTTTAATCCAGGTTACAATAATCCACACTTTTAATCCAGGTTACAATAATCCACA